GCGCAGCGTGATGAACGAACATGTTTATTTATCATTAGCGATAAACACGGACAGTAAACAAAACAACAAACGACTTGTAACGTCCTAGGTAACTTAGACCAACACGGAACAAGAACCCACAAACACAAAGGGAAAAACAGACAGTTTAAATATGGCTCCCAATCAGAGACAACCAGCCACACTTATAGAGGCTGTTTTCCCACATTAGTTGTGGGATCTTGTTTCGAGTTGGTTTGTGTTAGACCGTGAACTGTCACGTTATCGTTTTGTTTATTTTGTCGTTTATCGCTAAATAAAGAGTATGTTTGCCTGCAACGCTGCGCCTTGGTCCTCCTCTCTTACCGACGATCGTGACACAGAGCCTATCTACTTCTGAAAACAACAAAAGATTGTTGTCCCTTAAGGAGTAATGGTAATGTTAGGCTCCTTAAGGGACAGATCTAAATATATTAGGGGGGAGGGCCTGGTCCAACTCAAGGTGTCATAAAAAAAAGTTATAAATATTTCCACATGACCCTCCCCTTGTACTTTAAAATAAATTAAACACCCTCCCCCTCATAGAATTCACTCAAAATAATGTTTACGACCACAAATAACAATAACTGTAGCGACCCTGTGTTTATAAACGTGGATATCAACTTTGCCACTTCAGCATGCTTTTGTGGCACAGTCGATGCCACGCAGGGCTAGGTTGAGGGTTCGCCAACCACCACAGACGAGCTCACTCTTCCTGCCTGTTTCATTACACTAAAATCAGAGCTGGCTTTAAATAAATTCATTAGACCCTTATCTATGGATTTCACATGACTGGGAATACAGATATGCATCTGTTGGTCACAGAAAAAGCCATTGTCTCAGACTGGCCAATAAAAAGAAAACATTAAGATGGGCAGTCTGAGATACAGCTTTTTCATTGCAACTCTGCCTAGAAGGTCATCATCCCGGAGTCGCAGCTTCACTGTTGACGTTGAGACTGGTGTTTTGCAGGTACTATTTAATGAAGCTGCCAGTTGAGGACCTGTGAGGCGTCCGTTTCTCAAACTAGACACTCTAATGTATTTGTCCTCTTGCTCAGTTGTGCAATGGGGCCTCCCACTCCTCTTTCTATTCTGGTTAGAGCCAGTTTGCGCTGTTCTGTGAAGGGAGTAGTACACAGCGTTGTACAAGATCTTCAGTTTCTTGGCAATTTCTCGCATAGCATAGCCTTCATTTCTCAGAACAAGAATAGACTGACAAGTTTCAGAAGAAAGTTATTTGTTTCTGGCCATTTTGAGCCTGTAATTGAACCCACAATTGCTGATGCTCCAGATACTCAACTAGTCTCAAGAGGGACAGTTTTATTGCTTCTTTAATCAGCACAAAAGTTTTCAGCTGTGCTAACATAATTGCAAAAGGGTTTTCTAATGATCAATTAGCCTTTTAAACTGATAAACTTGGATTAGCAAACACAATGTGCCATTGGAACACAGGACTGATGGTTGCTGATAATGGGCCTCTGTACGCCTATGTAGATATTCCATAAAAAATTTGCCGTTTCCAGCTACAATAGCCATTTACAACATTAACAATGTCTACACTGTATTTCTGATCAATTTGATGTTATTTTAATAGACAAAAAAATTGCTTTTCTTTTGAAAACAAGGAAACTTCTAAGTGACCCCAAACTTTTGAACAGTAGTGTATATGTATTCTATATAAAGGAAGAGAAGCTTAGGCCTAACCCCAGAGAGATAGAGATATGCCGGTGGCATGCTACGACACTGACATGCATTTCTTGTCAGATGGCTACTGCGTCTGCTATACAAATATGGGACTTACAGAGGGTAATTCATTCATTTTCGATCCAAATATTTTGTATAAAGATAAGCATTATATTGTTAGATTATAGGAGTAACTCTGGTAAACCTGAAACAGTCTTCCTCACCTCAAGTTCAACTGTCGGAGTCAGTTGGCGCGCCGGGGCCCACTGCCTTCATATCATAGGCCTGCAGTACCTAAAGCTTAATAATAGCCATACCACACCAAACCTTCTCAAATGTTTCTAAACTGTATTATGATAATATCAAAAGTAAGTAAATCCATTGTTTATAGAGAAAATACGAGAAGAAGAGCAAATGTAAACCAGGGAAGAAATGCACTACCCTCCCCTGTGCCCCCCCAAAAACACACAACCCTCCCCAACCCTCTCCCTTATTTTGTACAATGAATCTTGCTCCTCAATGCAATCATTATCTGCACAGATATTGGGTAGAGGCTGTTATTATTCTTATGTTAATCACAGTGATAAGCAAGCAAGTTAGATATTGAAGTAGTCAATTATAGGGAATATGGTGAATTGCCGTCTAATTTATTTGTTTGATTTCTCGATAGCCATCAGCTTGTTTGCCTGTTAGCCATGACTGTAGCCAACTTTATGTCAACTGGTGCGATTGCTAACCTTTCAAACAGTCTCACACAGCAAGTTTCAAGTTTAATGTAAAATGCACAAGTACAGTGAAATGCCTTTCTTGCAAGCTCTAAACATAAGCAAAATAACACATGAAACATCTTATATTTCTGAATATGGGATTTGTTGTAATTTATATAATTACAAAGTCCCTACCTTGTAGATTACTGTCAATATCAAGTCGATTTAGACGATTCCGAAACAAAACCGAGTGCTCCTTTTTCTCCACCCAGAACTACATTAGCTTGCTATTGTGACATCATGGGGATCTCAGGTATACAGTTTTTCATCCTGAAGTACTAAAATATTTATCTAAAATATAATAAAATTATATAAATACATTGGAAAAAGTCATATTTTGTTCATAATAATTTATTTTTTCTAGATAAATGTCACCAATACTCACACACAGCCTACTCACAATTAATCTAATGTAGCAGGCATAAAACAAACGCCTGAGCTGAGTCCCCACATCCATTTTTCTGGGGGAACGGAAGCTATATCCCAACATAGGCTAACTCAGAATTCCTCTTTAACTGTTAAGCATCCATATAAATACTATAAATAACAATAAATGGATAGATTTAAATAAATAAATACTTTCTTTCAACTTTCTTGGGATTGGCTTTGTTGCTTGCTTTTGCTGGCCAGCACCTATTACCAACCTGTCATTTCTATTTGTTCTAATACCCTGTAGGGTATAGGCCTACCATTCATTCCTGTTTTAAATGAAATGTCTCACTGCAATAAAGTGTCCTATAACATATAGGCCTACTGGCATATTCAACATTGTAGTAGGCCTAATTTTAGATGGAATGTGTTTAAGTTTCATTATCATAATCTGTCCTTGTACTCTTAGATTTAAGTTCTGCATTCGACGCTGTTGACCATGATGTCCTTCTGGACAGACTGGAGAGGTGGGTTGGCCTCTCCGGTCCAGTTCTAAATTGGTTTAGGACCTATTTAACCGGTCGAACCCTGGTGAATATAACTCAAAGAAAATACATATCACATGTGGCGTTCCACAACATTCGATTTTGGGTCTGGTACTGTTCAGTTTAAATATGTTACCCCTTGGAGGCATTATCAGAAAGCAAATAATTGATGTTCACTGCTACGCAGATGATACACAACTTTACATTTCTGTGTCACTAGAGGATTTTAGCTCCACGGATAAATTATTAGACTGTATTATTGATTTAAATACTTGAATGGCTCACAACTTCCTCCAGCTAAATCAAGACAAAACGGAGGTACTTATTGTTGGAGCCAAAGCCCAGAGAGAGAATCTAGACACATTTTAATTAACGGGCAATAAAGATAAAACACCAGGTAAAAAACCTAGGTGTTATTTTAGATTCTGAACTAAATTTCGAATCACACATTAGGAATGTGGCCAAAATAGCTTTTTACCACCTGAGGAATATTGCCAAGGTGTGGCTGTTTCTCGCTCAGGCTGATACAGAGAGACTCATCCATGCTTTCATTACAAGCAGGCTTGACTACTGTAATGCTCTCCTGTCTGGTCTACCCAAGAAAGCCATTGGTCAACTGCAAAACATGCAGAATGCTACAGCACGGGTACTGACCAAGACCAGACGGAGAGCACACATTACACCGGTTTTAAGGTCTCTGCACTGGCTGCCTGTGAGTTTTAGAATTCATTTTAAGATTATTCTATTGGTTTTTAAATCCATCCACGATTGTGCACCCCAATGCATGTCAGACATGCTTTTAAGTTATGTACCCAGTAGGTCCCTCAGGTCCTCTGGCACTGGCCTTTTAACTATCCCAAAGCCTAGGACCAAGAAGCATGGAGAGGCAGCCTTTAGTTATTATGCCCCCAGCCTCCGGAATAGCCTGCCAGAGAACCTGAGGGGGGCCGAAACTGTGGACATATTTAAAAGAGATCTTAAAACACATATTTTAGCTTTGCTTTTCCTTTGGGTGCTTTTTAGTTGTTCCGTTTGTGTCATTCTTTTGTTTTTATATTATGTTTGTTGTGTAGTAAATATTTCAGCTTTTATTTTCATTGTTTTTTATTTATTTATTCCTGTAAAGCATATTGTGTTGCATTCCTTGTCTGAAATGTGCTGTATAAATAAAGCTTGATTTGATTTGATAACCAGAGTATTTTCTTGTAGGCTTCTTCCATTGTAGAACATTTTATAAAGTGACTTCAGCTCAACTCCCTTTTTTTCTTCAAAAAATATGCACAAATATTTCGGGTTTCAGCATGATTCTCATAAGAATCCTCCCCGTAAACAGAGCGCACTCAAGTGCAGAATTTGCATCATAGAATTAAAAAGCACGGAAACCAATAGTTACATACTCACTAGCTACTGTGCTATAATGAAGAATCAACTAAATACAATTTTCCATCTTATGACTATATACAAATGACTAATATGCACTAATAACCCTGTCACGGTTAGACTTTCACAACTGTAATAATTGGGGTTTCTTTCCAGACCAGCTGGAAAAGACCCAACGTGAACGCGCACACAACTTACATTCTTAAACCCAGCTGTACAATGGCAAGTGTTCTGTCCACTTATCCCACCATTGCATTCATGATACGGGGGCTGGGAGGGGGGTTTAGGGAATGCACGTTCCACGGGTCGTCGGAGGGAGACTGGGGGGTCTCCCTGGAGATGTTGCGGCCCTCGGGGAGTTCAGCCTCCTGGTTTGTCTCCAAGGTGTCATCCAGCTCCGGCATAGCCCGGGAGTCCTCATCCTCCTCCGTCTGATCCAGCATGTTGTACGGATCAGAAGGGTCAACCACCCGGTTTCTCTTCTCCCGGTGCAAGAGGCGCTCCAGGGGCACCGTGTTCTTCTCTGATAGGAAGAGGGAGGTATGTGGTAGATTCTGACCCACAGTGTACACTTGCTTTGCCCCTTCCAAGTTGAGCAGAATACCAGTTCTGCAAGAGTAGTACACGTCGCGGTGGTTTTCCAATAGCTTGTGGTTAAAAAGACAGTCTTCCTTGTGGCAAACGGTCTGTAAACAGATACATTCATAGGTTTACGTAAAAACGCAATATAGAAACGTACATCCATTAACTTAATTGTTTAAGTGTTGCTTGAGTGCTAAACAAAAAAAACAACAAAAAAAGTGGTCTGAAATCCGTGCGTAAAAGCGCATTTTTGGTTTATGTCAGAAATGGTTCAAATTAGTAAAAAGTGCCATTCAATTATCTCACGAGTCTTATTCTAAATGTTAAGAAAACATGTATTTCAATTAAATTAATCATGAAAATTAGCATTTACTTACAGAGCTGAAAGGGTTTCCCAGGGCATCCATGCACAGATAGCGGTTACTTTTGACTCCAAGTATTGCCACGCGCTCTCTTGTTTCCGCCTTTAATAAAATCACACCTGTCGAGGAAATTAATTGTGTTAGCCTATAGAAGCAGATTAAAGACAAAAACTTAAAACAAATTTATTTCAAAACGAAACGCCAAAAATGTAATATGAACTTACTGTATGAGCTTCGAAGTGTAGTTTTGCGCACGTGGCCATTTAAACGGATCTCAAGGTAGAAATTGTTCACGTCTGAAGACGTCTGCAGGTGTACGTATCTTCTTGGATTCCCCCAGTTGGATCCCAGGAGAGGTGATGGGTTTGGAAGAGCATCCACAAGTCGAAATCCCTGAAGAACAGCCAGTAGAGCACAAGGACGGCGTCCCTCATCCTAGATTTCTTGGTTATTTCCATCTTTTCCCCAAAGAACACCGAAAATGTATCCCAGAGATTTCGGATGTAGCTGTGAGTTCTGCAGCAAACTGTTTGCAAACTTCAGCTGATCTGATGGTCCAAAGTTTGAGAACGGCTCTATTTAAAGGGACCGAAGTGCCACTCCTGCTCACATCCTTTAGCCTACGCAGCGCTCGCCTCCAACGCAGATGTGGGTCTTTCTCTCCGCGGAAGGAAGCGGGTGCATCTCCACCTGACTGTTTGTCTAAAGGTATTGGTCACCAAATAACGTAGTAGTCTCTTTGAACAATGTCTGTACAAAAGTGACGTATTTTTTTTCACACATCAAAACGTTCATAATCATGATCCTTGGACTCACATACCCTCTGTCATCTCAGTGTGTGCAATATACCCCTCTGTCCAGTAAGCATATTATTATTACCTATAATAGATATAGAAAAATATTAATCATTTCACGTTGAAAACACTGAGTCAAGGATACGCCCTTTATTGAATCGAGTTTTACCCATTTTCTAAGGTTATAGACAATCTATACAACCAATTCCCATGGTTTCCTGTCCCTAATCGATACAATCTATTCCCAACACCTTTCCAATGTTTTGAAAACGTAATTTTATGATAGTAATTGAACATTATGTTACAATCTGTTCGAATTAATGATAAGACAACATCTTAGACTTAGATACATATTTGACCATTTAAAAACACTGATCTTATTTAGTGTTGTATTTCTCTCTAGTATTTTCTATTTCATTATAAAAACATAAATCCATGCCTGAATAATACTAATTAAGCTGCAAATTAACATTACACTGTGTATATGTGATGATGAATGGACCCCTTACATAAAGTATGGTCATTGGTGCCAGCTGTCCATCACAAACAGTTCCACCATTACAGAGTTTGACCAGCAGAGGGAACCACAAGGTAATTTATGCCACAATATGGATGGCACAGGGGTTTCTAGTGTGGGACCAAATAAAAATAAAATGAGAAGTCATAACTATCTTATTTCAAATAGGTAGCCTATTGCACTTTCAAATGAATTTTATTGTGTGTTATTCTGTTTATATGTTGTAAGTACTTTGTCTTTTTATGCACCTGACTAAATGCATTTCCCACTGGTGGGACAATAAAGTTGATCTAATCTAATCTTCAGACCTTATGATTTCATGTTAGACACTTTTCCATGCGTAAACTACTGCAGATTTGCCTTTGTTGTTGGTCCTTCAACATAAGTGTTAAAATTCTATAAGGGGGTTCAGGGGTCACCTTTTGCGGAGCAGTGCCCCAGAACCTTCAAATAGTATATCACTTGAAGTATTGCAATAGGCTATAGAGGGCATGGTGCACTGGTCAGTGTGCATCACACACTATATGTTTGGTAAGTCACTCATCTTTGTGAGTGAGATGCTAGGATGAGATCAAGTTGATCTCGTCCTAGGTGACGTGTACATTCTTCTCTGTCACCTTTAACAAACCCATAGAGCCCAGAGCTCAATAAGAAACCAAGAAAACAACATGTATAAAACAAACGTTTATTGGTATCTCAGGAATACAGTAGAATGCTGTGCACAGCACATACGTACAAAAATAAAAGGAAAAACATTTTCAATATATCAGTATTCTTACGTAGCCTCATCAGTTTTTCAGAAATAAATGATTGCAGAAGTCTACTATTTTACAATCGTCATAACAAATTAAAACTAAGGCAGAAGGTGAGGTATATGTTAACAGAGAGGAGGGGCATAGGTGGAAGCTCACTCCCCTTAGTGCAGGGGTACAAAACCAAGAGAGAGAACATTTTGCCGAAACACACAAGGGAAACACATGCAGACACACTCCCAATCAAGCTTGGTGGGCTTCAGACAGCTTTAAGAGTTATCAGAGCATGATAACAGGATGTGTTCTCTGCTGAAGTTAATTGACACAATTCCCAAATCATTAAAAAAAGAACTAGAATTTATTGCGGTCGTATGTTTTGGTCAAGTCTGATAGGGAACAGAATATGAACCTTTAGGCTTACAGCTTTTAATTGCCTCACTAACCCGTTACCATGCTCAGACATAGGAAAGACAGCATTTTATAGGCTACTTTAAGATAGCAAACTTTAACTTTCCACAAGCAGCACTACTTTCAATATTTTCAAGATCTCTGATAAGGTGCACCTTTGACATCTTGTTGACTTTGAGGGAGGGCGTGCAAGACTCTTACACACACACACACGCAATCACACACACACACACACACACACAGGTCAGTTCCACTTCACATCCTGGTATGTTGACATGAGGATTTAGCTGTTCAAATGAACTCACATTGAACTTATTAAATACATATTTGCCTCACTTTTATCAGAACAATGTATCAGATTATTTTTTTGTATTTACTTTTACCAATGTCAATAACTATCCCATAATGTTTTCATGTAATACCACATGCAGTCACAACGGCAACAAGGCTTTGGTCTGATCTCTGAAACCACTATTTAACCAATAGCCAAACAATATCATTTACTTCCACTACATAGATTCTCATTACAACAAGTTAGGAAAGGGAGATTTGATCCAGGCCACTACACCGTGTGACAGATTCATTGTATGGCCAATAATAATCCATCCTAAAAAAGTAAATTCCTGTTGCACATCACTAGTAGGTGTACAGGTAGGTAGCTGCTGCCCTTTAGAGAAAACGTCCATCAATCCTGAATATAACCTCAACTGACACTTGTAAACTTCGGAAATCTGTTTAACAGTTACACTGCAATATGAAACCCCCCTGCAATACTCCAATGTGCCACTAAAATCTTTAGACCTCTCTGTTAAGGTTGCAAAAGTGTAAGGGAGGGGTTGTTTTAGATAGGGTTGGAAGCTCATGTCCACAGTATTTTGACATGAGAGCCTTGGTTCTCAGGCAGAGCCAGGTGATTCCCTGAAGAGCAGTTGGTTGGTTGACGTCACAGTGGCCCAAAAGGCCTGCTGTAGAGACACAGAGAACTGGGAGGAGAGAGGCTTGCAGTGACATTGCTCTTTGCCTCAAGGACTGCATCAAGTCTGCAGAGGTCCCCTCCCCGGAAGTATTTGGATGTAGGCTACGCACAAGTGTGTGAGGGAAGGGGTGTGAGAGGAGCAAAAATGAAATCCGCATTTCACATTAATGCAGGGCAGGCGTATCAAACCAAGTGTTTGAACTTCGGCAAGATAAATTAAAGACGTAACTCAAACAACTGTAGATCTCAGACACATGCATTCTCAGCCAGGCAATCAGATATGAAAAGTGACAACGACAGTAGTATATATTTTTGAAAGCTACAGTCTATGATTTGAAAAACAAAACGCTGCCTAGCCAATAGTTAATATAGTTTTAACCTATTTTAAACCCACAGTGTTTGTTTACAGTTACATTGTTCACAAAACAGTGGAGTAAACCAAGCTTATATTTTGGGTTCTGATGGGGTAAGACAGCTTAACTAAGGTCATGAGGCATTTTAAAGTATATTCTTTAAGAATGAATGGCTATATAGGCGATCATTACATGTAAAGTACAACAATTGATGCACCAATCACAGACTGTAGCTTTAAAGCCACGCATAAGAGCAATTAAGAACAAGATGGAAGTCTTGGAGGCCAATGATGGTCTTTCTATGGAGACCATTCAAACAGTGCATAAGGGATTCCATAAATAAATAATAAACCCAGTACAGCCCTGTATGTCCCTTTAACACCGATCAACTAGCTTTTCATGAAATTCATTGAAAATGAATCAAATAGAGACAAACATAGATTTGATGAGAGTGGGGGGGGGGGGTTGGGTGACCCAAATAGCAGACCACCCTGGACACAGAGTCAGGGTCAACACTGGTCCATGACTCTGACCGTGAACTAAAAAAGGACTAAAGCAGGAGAGGAAGCTCCTGGGTTACTGCTGGAATCCCAAGGTCCCTCCAGCTCCATGGGTTTTCACAGGGGTATCTGACGACCGGGGTGGTACTGGTTAAAGGGGAGTATGTGGGGAGCAGCCAGTCATTCTGGCCGAGACACATTCTTGCGGGGGATACAACAAACAGAGACAGCAGGCAGGCAGCATCCCATAAGTCTTTCCTAGGTTAAAATAGTCCTGCTCCTCCTCGGCTCCACCAAAGAGAACATTCCCAGAGGGTGACTTGGGGTGGGCAGAGTGAGAAGCCTCAGTTTTCAAGTAACCAGCAGCAGAGGAAAGAACACTATCAACTACGAGGCACTGCACTGTCCTTCAGTCCAGTGTCACACATTGACTCTAGGAACTGAGCCTCCCGTAATTATATTTAAAACCATCCAACTACAGCTTCCAATAACTTTCTGCCACTGCAGTGCTGCTGCAGAGTACACTGATCTCAGAGGATTTCCCACAGCAGGGTCTCTCTCTATGGGAATTCACCAAACACATTAACAAACAACTAAATAAATAATCATGTATGGGAACGATTCTCAACAACAACAAAAAGTCATCAGGCACCATCATTGATGGTCATTGTGCAACCTGAACTACGCCACTTCCGGGCGATTGAGATTGAAGCTACGTAAAGCTCCTGGTTCTTTTTTCTATGTTTCACATTTGTCAATATTTACATCATTTTTCATTGGCTTAATACACATCTTTATCCATGGCGATGCACAAAAGCTTGCAATTTTACATTTCACACACTTACCTAAAGCCAAACGCTAAAGCTTTCAGGTATATCAGCAGTCCCAGTTTGTGAGCAGATACATGTTTTAATGCTAGTCCCCTTTTCAGTTCATTTCAAGACAGGATGCAAATGAGCTCTGAGCCAAAGGAGGTTTGAATCCAGTCTGTAACACATAACTGCCCCACCATGTTTAAATGACCTTGTGGAGAGACAAGAGTCCCACATGGTGGTTAAACTTCTACTGTGGGTGGGCATCTGAGTTTCTCACTTTCTCTACCACCCCACACTCATGGCTGAGTTCTCCTCTAGCCTTCTCTCTGTGTACTAGAGTGTATATTACTTAATCGATCTAATTACAGGAAAAGAAAATAAACCAGAGATAGTCCTGCCCCCCTGAGGCCCTCTTTGAGTGTCAGCCCTATTTCTGACTACAGCGGGTGTCTCTTACATGCAAGTTTAAGGGGGCCACAAGTGGGAACCACCAAGGCACCTTCACATCGTGCAGCAAGGGAAGTGCATTTAAGTAGTCTCGTTCTCGATCCCCTTTTTGCTAGAAAATAGCAATCTTGAACACAGGGGAGTGAACCAGCAAGTGCTCAAAGGTCTCAGAGAAAGGATCAAACAAAATAGGTATTACTTTGAGCATACAGTAACTCCATGCATCCCTTTATCCAGTCAAGTGGTTCTTTGAGGTAATAAAAAGTATCCATTTCACTCCTAAAAGCTAAGGATATTAGTCATCCACCCCAAAGACTGGGGTGAAGCTGCCCCAGTATATGTGAGTTAGAGATGTCTTTAAGGCCCAGGAAGCTCCAATACAAACTCCCATTAGACAGCTATGCAAGTGTTATAATGTCAAAATACGTTCGTTACTCACCAAATATGGAGTTTGGCTGAGCAACTATCTTTATGTTCTTCCAAAAAAGGTGTAAATAAAAATTGACAAGCAACAGGAAAAATGGCTATTCAGCACCTCCAATCACTCATCCATCACTCATTACTGCCACGCACACGTCGGAAGTCTACAACATCTCAATACATTGGAGGTGCTGAATAGGCATTTTTTCGGTTGCTTATAAATGTTTATTTAGACCTTTTTTGGAAGTACATACCGGCCGTAATGGGATTAAATGAAGATAGTTGCTCAGCAAAACTCCATATTTGGTGAGTAACTAAAGTATTTTGACATTATAACGCTTGCAGATCTGTCTAATGGGAGTTTGAATTGGATCTTCCTGGGAATTAGAAGGTAGACACGTCATCCTCATCGTCAACATCTCTAACGCACAGATACTGGGCCAGGGTGAAGCATACTTCAGTTACGGCACGCACCAAAGTAAAGTGAAGACTGGCAAAGCCTTACACTCCTCAATCGATAATGATAAAAGTGATAAGCAGCAAATAATGGCATATACAGTTCTAATACAAAGGTAGCTATCCAAATATACATATATAAAGATAATAAATACTTGTGTAGTTTTTGCAGTCCTTTTGTAATGGTTTATATGTATATTGTATAATTCTATATTACCTGGGAGAACATCCACATGTGCAAATTCGTGAGTTATTGCCAGTTTTGATCATAATAATCGGGGGAGGAAGTGTGTGACAGTCATGGCGGTGGTGGCCTTGTTGCCTCTCTTTGCGCGGCCATGTTTGCTGAGGGCAATGTAGGAGCCCTTGTAAACCGAAGACTCGTAGGCATTGTAGTTGTTTGGCAGCAAGGTCTCCTTGAACTTGCACTCATCCCGGAAGAATTTCTAAAAATGGCAAATGGAGAGACAGGGTCAACAAAAAGGTCACGTGAGGAGGACCACAGGATGAACATCACACTACAAGTGTGCTTTTAAGATGACCTTTCCTTTGGCAAAAGCTTAGATGGATGGCATACTTCCTCTTGCTGCACCAGACCACATGACACAGTGCAGTAGACAAATGCTGTTGGGGAACATTTGAGATGGATGATATTTTGCTCATTATTAAAGGGGCAGTGCAGTCAAAAACCTAATTTCCAGTTTTTTTTATGATGTTTCCAAACTATGAGTTTGAAATAACACTCTGAAATTGTGAAAATGATGATAATGCCCTTTTAGCGTAAAAGCTTTTGGAATAAAACGCCTGGAATGTCAGCCTGTTAAGGTGAGATGGAGTTTTTGGCCCACAGTATGACATCATAATCTGATCTAGTTGTTCTGACCAATGACCGGTCATCTTTTATTTGCATATGTGTCCTCCTACTGGGAAGGGGTAAGTGGGGTAGGCTCTAGAGCAGGGTTGCCCAACCCTGTTCCTAGAGAGCTACCCTCCTGTAGGTTTTCGCTCCAACCCCAGGTGTTACTAACCTGATTCATCTTATCAACCTGCTAATTATTAGAATCAGGTGTGCTAGATTAGGGTTGGAGCAAAAACCTACAGGGCGGTAGCTCTCCAGGAACAGGGTTGGGCAGTCCTGCTCTAGAGTCTAGACGATCCTATCCGCCAATCAGGGTGGTGTATGTAAATATATTTAAATTTGTATCAACACGCCTACATGATCAGACAACATTTCAATGGCAAAAGGAGGTTCAGTGAAATAAATTATAAAAAATACATGTGGAGTTATTTTCATGAACTAAGCACACACAGTAATTTATTAGACATACAGTGATGATTTAAAAGTGTAATTAAAAAGACTGCATGCAGGCTTTAAATGACCACTTTAAACTTCAAACACCACATGCTCTAGATTTCTGTTGTAAAACAGTCATTCATATTCAATAATTGCCAAGTTCTATAGTAATAATATTTTATATCATTTTTCATGATTCAAGTATTATGTTTTCTGCCAAACTAACAGAAACATACAGACAATAACCTATTTCAAGAGTAATCCAAATACAGAGGAAACATACAACTGGACTAAATGTGGTTAAAAAGAGTTCAGATACGCCTTCCTCCTCAACGTCATGATTAATCATTGCCTGCTGATTTACAATGTCTTGTCAAGCTGAACACATTAAATACATTTCAGCAAGTTGTAGATTTCCTCCACAGCAATAGATTTGGATGTTACTGCAGCTAAATACTACTCAGTTCAGTCAGTTTCTAAACCTAGAGGCCCAACATCGCGAGACTTCCGGGAACCCTTGTGAAGCAGACTCCGCAGAACATATCGAGATTTGGGGTTTGAGAAGTCAATGTTGTTAATTTTCTCGAAATCTAAAGGCACAACCTAGATTGACACTTACATGTTTTCATTTTTGGCAAAAACAACTTTATATCAAAGGAATGCCTTTGATTTGATGGCCTGCACATGCGCAGTTCGGAACCAAACGACCATTTAGACCCGATTATGTGTTTCTGCGCATGGGTTTAGCTAGCCAACGTTGCCATGACATCACCTACAAGCGCGATAGGGGATTTCTATTGGAGATGCAGTTTCTACATACTGTAAAACTTAAATTAATAGCCAGGGCAGTTTATTTGCTTCAATCACTGAACACAACTGGCGCTTACTAGAGACATGCTTCTATTTGAGCCAGGCATCTATTGCTCAATGAAATGTTGAAAAGACTACCACACTGTTTATTGTGACCAGACATAAACATTAAAACACATCCATCGCAGATCAGACTTGAAATGACTACGCTGCCTATCACACACACCGCGATTTCAGCTTCAGCATAATTCTCTCACTCTCTGTATCCACTGTAATTGAGGCGACCATGTCAAACCACACTGCTGTCTCATCCATGGCAATAATGTTGCTCTCCTGTATCTTCTATTGCGCAGTCTTTACCATACGCACTGAAGTTCACTTGTAAACAATACATTTAGATCCAGGGTTTATTTGAAACAGGCGTTTATTTGCGGAAATGTGTGACGATTCCCGGCTATTAAAAGGAACAGGCGGCTATTTGAGACTCCATTTAATTGAAGTTATATGGTATCTTCATACTGAACCAACTTTGACTGCAGGCCCAAAGCAGGGTGCAGTTTTATAGGCTAAAATGTCAGAGCCAAATGTTTGCCAATTCAGACCAATTTACAGCAGTCGGCCAACACTATACTATATGGTGTAATATGTTCATCCAACAATGGGCCATAAAATCAATCTTAATATCATAAATGCTAAAGCACCGTCACTTTAGATTAGTAGGCCTTCCTTGAAAGTTGATTGATTCCTTCAATAAATAACTTCAGACTCCCAGAAAAGCAATCAGATAATGATTGATAGAATATTAGGCTAGTGTTAACAAGTTCAAAAGGCATCGTTTTATATCGTCTTATTCAACAGATCATATTTCAATTATAATTATATTTTTGTTATCGTTTACAAAACCCCTTTCCATTTTGCTACACAGGCTACAGAAAGACCATACTGAAACAAGTTATACCCTGGGCAATTGGGAATTATGAATAATTTACAATGGAATCATTTCGTGCCTCATGAATGTCCCCATCAGTGAGTTAATATTTGATTCACAGAGAACACAATTACACAGAGGCTCTACTTAACAAAACAAAATATAATTTGTAATATCATATTAACAAAGCACTTAGCTTATCTCAAACACATTGCGTTTTTCTCCATCTCTCTTGGAAACAGCATGCCAGCAATAGAGGGAACTACAATTGCGCACACCTACCGTTCCATACAACCTTCCTCTGCTGTTCATTGCGACAAACAGCTCACTTCTCACTCCATACATACTTATCACTCCTCTCTCCACGGTAGAGATCTCTATTAGACCTAGTCAAACAAAGCATGGTGTTATACAGATGAACCTTGTCAAATTGACAGTGTATCAATGCGTTTGATTATGGGGGAACAAAGACCTGCACAATGCAGCGGTGGGTGTAACCTTGTAGGTGGCTACTCTGAATGCATCGTCTTTGTTCTGTATCATTTGGGGAGCAATGCTGTTCATTTCCTACTGCCCAAATTAATATCTATCATAACTGCACTTTCTGACGTGCATGGCAATCCGTTTAATGGGCCACAGAAGGAGCTAGTGTAAAAATAAGTTGGCGTCTATATTGGTCCAAGCATTCATGTCATGTTTTGGCCTGGGAAGATATTTAGCACTGACTGATACAAGGTTTTTTAATAGATTTCTCTTTGCTTTAAGAGACATTCAATGTTGCCGACCCCAATGATTAAATATCATGCAAGACTGACAAGGAGCTCTCAAGTCGCCTTTACTTGGGACCGCTCATACTATACGTTCTCTATTGAATTACATTTCAGGATGCGACTCACTGTACTGGTTCTCATTATGTACACCGTTTATCCTGCCGTCAGGGAGGATCTGCAGGTGAAATCCAATGCCCACGTTGCAGTAAAGTCGCCGCACTCTCTTGATGCCCAGCAAATAGTCATTCTCCCAGTTCATGTCCGATTTCGCACCAGAGATGCCGAGAACGGAGCGGGAAAAGAGGGTCTCCCACCTTTGCTCCAATAAAGTTACATTAGTCCTGCTTGGAATCGGATATGATGACACAATCCCCAATAGAGACCCCAAGAGAACAATTGCAGTCAACGTCCAGTGCGTGCTGGCCTCGTTGCACATACCGATAAAGAACCTTTGCGCAATGGCCATCCAGTTTACCTTCGGGGCACGTGGTCAAAGTTAATGGCCCTAAAAATACCTCTCTTCTTGTTTTTCTTCCTTCGGCATGGTGGTAAAGGCTTATTTTTGGAAGGCAGATCAGGTCTTCTGGCATGAAATGATAGCCCGAAAGAGGAGGAGAAAAAGGAGAGAGCGTGACAGAGCTTGAGGTGGTGATGATTACCATCTTTTGCAGCTCCGCGCCTCTCTCGATAGGCAACGTTGGCTGTGGAGAATACCACTCACCAAAAACCTATGTCACCTTGCCAGGCACTTGCATCCTTATATGACATCACTCTGACTTCATTGCTGCCCGTCAAAGTGAGGAAGGGGAGGGAGAGGAAGAAAAAGTTGCAACCCAGCAAGTGTATGCAGCTAGCGCTGAACTGCAAGTCCGAGGAGAGTTTGTGCAGCCGCTGTCACTTCACATGTGAGATGGGGCAGGGGGAGAGGAGTTTCATTGGGTAGAGTTGAGCAATCATGGGATGCGATGGGTACTTTGACGGAGCCCAAATTGGGACGCTGGTCATATGTCTGACAGGCTGCTTCCTTATTTAGAATGAAGGTGTAAAAACAGTCCAGTAGTCACCGGAGAGCAATGGCAATCCTGTCCGCCACTTCCTTTGCTGTTTGTTCAGGAAGTTTACACAACAACACATTTCGGAATGCCTGGAAAGATTTCTGGTTATTATAGTGAGAATGCACCTGCCACCGATTAAAAAAGGAAAACCGATATTAACATGTTACACGAATGCAAGTGATCTTTCAGTCTCCGGGTTCCCTTACCCCCAACCTTCGTGATACTGGAAAAAGCGGTGTTATTGTCAGCTTTGAACAGACTACAGAATGCATACGCCGCGGGGAATGCCCATACGTCAGCGAGTACCATTCTACGTGGTTCCCAAGGTGCTCTGGGTGCCAAGGAGCACAAGTCAAGTCATACCTTGGCAACCACTAAGAGGGGCGCTGTTGCTGATACACAAACGACAGTGATATGAAACATTGCTTTGCTATGGCAAAATGCTCAATTTGAAAAGCCAAAACATATTGTGTGCTACATCAACATTTTTATATCTATACATTTCTTAAAATCAGAATGTAGACCAGTTTCCATGAGAAATAACATTTTAACCTATAACATTGTATTAGCATGTTATTACATAGCAATGATTCCATTGTAATTGTATAGGTCTACAGGAATGGAGTTGAGCAGCCTGATTTTTGTCCTTTCACAAGTGGATAAGGACTGTTCTTCCATTTGTGTAATAACATAAAAAACTCCATTACTATACAATAATCAATTACTGTTGTTAATGTGTAACTTCCAAAAATGATTGCTATAAAAATTCTAATTGGGACAGTTGTAGTGGGGTACCAAAGAGTCAGAGCATTGCAATATTTTTCACAATTCTACAGTTCAAGTGAAAGGGGAATGTTGAACAATAGAATAGGCAAGCATGGCAGAGAGTATATTCAGCAGGCCCTCTGCCTGCACAGTGGCCAGCAAACAGTTACAGTGGCCAGCAAACAGTTACAGTGGTCAACAAACAGTTACAGAGGCCAGAAAACTATTACAATGGCAAAAAAACAGTTACAGTGGCCAGCAAAGAGTTACAGTGGCCAGCAAACAGTTATAGAAGCCAACAAACAGTTACAGTGGCCAGCAAACAGTTACGGTGGTCAACAAACAGTTACAGAGGCCAGAAAACTATTACAATGGCCAACAAACAGTTACAGTGGCCAGCAAACAGTTACAGTGGCCAGCAAATAGTTATAGAAGCCAACAAACAGTTACAGTGGTCAGCGATCACTGCCTCATTAACTGCGTCCGTAATGGGTCCGCAGTCAAACGACCACCCCTCATCACTGTCAAACGCTCCCTAAAACACTTCAGCGAGCAGGCCTTTCTAATTGACCTGGCCCGGGTATCCTGGATGGATATTGACCTCATTCCGTCAGTAGAGGATGCATGGTTGTTCTTTAAAAGTGCTTTCCTCTCCATCTTAAATAAGCATGCCCCATTCAAAAAATCCAGAACTAAGAACAGATATAGCCCCTGGTTCATCCCAGACTTGACTGCCCTTGACCAGCACAAAAACATCCTGTGGCGTACTGCATTAGCATCGAACAGCCCCCGCGATATGCAACTTTTCAGGGAAGTCAGGAACCAATATACACAATCAGTTAGGAAAGCGAAGGCTAGCTTTTTCAAACAGAAATTTACATAATGTAGCACTAACTCCAAAAAGTTTTGGGACACTGTAAAGTCCATGGAGAATAAGAGCACCTCCTCCCAGCTGCCCACTGCACTGAGGCTAGGAAACACTGTCACCACCGATAAATCTATGATAATCGAACATTTCAACAAGCATTTTGCTATGGCTGGCCATATTTTCCACCTGGCTACCCCTACCCCGGCCACCAGCTCTGCACCCTCCGCTGCAACTAGCCTCCCCTGCAACAACCCATGCCCCCCCCCCCCCCCCCCCCCGCTTCTCCTTCACCCAAATTCAGATAGCTTATGTTCTGAAAGAGCTGCAAAATCTGGACCCCTACAAATCAGCTGGGCTAGACAATCTGGACACTTTCTTTCTAAAATTAGCCGCCGAAATTGTCGCAACCCCTATTACTAGCCTGTTCAACCTCTCTTTCGTATCGTCTGAGATCCCCAGAGATTGGAAAGCTGCCACGGTCATCCCCCTCTTCAAATGGGGTGACACTCTAGATCCAAACTGTTACAGACCTATATCCATCCTGCCCTGCCTTTCGAAAGTATTTGAAAGCCAGGTTAACAAACAGATTACCGACCATTTCGAATCCCACCGTACCTTCTCCGCTATGCAATCTGGTTTCCGAGCTGGTCATGGGTGCACCTCAGCCACGCTCAAGTTCTTAAACGATATTATAACCGCGATTGATAATAGACAGTACTGTGCAGCCGTCTTCATCGACCTGGCCAAGGCTTTCGACTCCGTCAATCACCGCATTCTTATTGGCAGACTAAATAGCCTTAGTTTCTCAAATGACTGCCTCGCCTGGTTCACCAACTACTTCTCAGATAGAGTTCAATGTGTCAAATCGGAGGGCCTGTTGTCTGGACCTCTGGCAGTCTCTATGGGCGTGCCACAGGGTTTAATTCTCGGGCCGACTCTATTCTCTGTGTATATCAATGATGTCGCTCTTGCTGCTGGTGACTCTCAGATCCACTTCTACGCAGACAACACCATTTTGTATATATCTGGCCCTTCATTGGACACTGTGTTAACAAACCTCCAAACGAGCTTCAATGCCATACAGCACTCCTTCCGTAGCCTCCAACTGCTCTTAAACGCTAGTAAAACTAAATGCATGCTCTTCAATCGAACGCTGCTTGCACCCGCCCGCCCGACTATAATCACTACTCTCGGCGGGTCTGACTTAGAAAATGTGGACAACTACAAATACCTAGGTGTCTGGTTAGACCGTAAACTCTCCTTCCAGACTCACATTAAGCATCTCCAATCCAAAGTTAAATCTAGAATCGGCTTCCTATTTCGCAACAAAGCCTACTTCACTCATGCTTCCAAACATGCCCTTGTAAAACTGACTATCTTACCGATCCTTGACTTCGGCGATGTCATTTACAAAATAGCCTCCAACACTCTACTCAGCAAATTGGATGTAGTCTATCACAGTGCCATTCGTTTTGTCACCAAAGCCCCATATACAGTGGGGGAAAAAAGTATTTAGTCAGCCACCAATTGTGCAAGTTCTCCCACTTAAAAAGATGAGAGAGGCCTGTAATTTCCATCATAGGTACACGTCAACTATGACAGACAAAATGAGAAGAAGAAAAATCCAGAAAATCACATTGTAGGATTTTTAATGAATTTATTTGCAAATTATGGTGGAAAATAAGTATTTGGTCACCTACAAACAAGCAAGATTTCTGGCTCTCACAGACCTGTAACTTCTTCTTTAAGAGGCTCCTCTGTCCTCCACTCGTTACCTGTATTAATGGCACCTGTTTGAACTTGTTATCAGTATAAAAGACACCTGTCCACAACCTCAAACAGTCACACTCCAAACTCCACTATGGCCAAGACCAAAGAGCTGTCAAAGGACACCAGAAACAAAATTGTAGACCTGCACCAGGCTGGGAAGACTGAATCTGCAATAGGCAAGCAGCTTGGTTTGAAGAAATCAACTGTGGGAGCAATTATTAGGAAATGGAAGACATACAAGAACACTGATAACATCTCCCTCGACCTGGGGCTCCACGCAAGATCTCACCCCGTGGGGTCAAAATGATCACAAGAACGGTGAGCAAAAATCCCAGAACCACACGGGGGGACCTAGTGAATGACCTGCAGAGAGCTGGGACCAAAGTAACAAAGCATACCATCAGTAAAACACTACGCCGCCAGGGACTCAAATCCTGCAGTGCAAGACGTGTCCCCCTGCTTAAGCCAGTACATGTCCAGGCCCGTCTGAAGTTTGCTAGAGTGCATTTGGATGATCCAGAAGAGGATTGGGAGAATGTCATATGGTCAGATGAAACCAAAATAGAACCTTTTGGTGAAAACTCAACTCGTCGTGTTTGCAGGACAAAGAATGCTGAGTTGCATCCAAAGAACACCATACCTACTGTGAAGCATGGGGGTGGAAACATCATGCTCTGGGGCTATTTTTCTGCAAAGGGACCAGGACGACTGATCCGTGTAAAGGAAAGAATGAATGGGGCCATGTATCGTGAGATTTTGAGTGAAAACCTCCTTCCATCAGCATGGGCATTGAAGATGAAACGTGGCTGGGTCTTTCAGCATGACAATGATCCCAAACACACCGCCCGGGCAACGAAGGAGTGGCTTTGTAAGAAGCATTTTAAGGTCCTGGAGTGGCCTAGCCAGTCTCCAGATCTCAACCCCATAGAAAATCTTTGGAGGGAGTTGAAAGTCTGTGTTGCCCAGTGACAGCCCCAAAACATCACTGCTCTAGAGGAGATCTGCATG